GCAGTATGTTATTATTTATACTAGGGCGACCATACAACTTAAAAATAAGAAAGAAATTACAAAAGTACCCCTGCGGTACCATGCATATATAAAATAACATATGTTAAAAGGTGTTTGGAGATGCAATGGGTTGTACACTTCCTTTTGCCTTTGCGAAGGGCAATAGGAAGATCAAGGTCTGTGAAAGTATCAGAAGGGGTAGAGGAGGGATGACATGTTATCTCAGTAGTGACAGGAAGTGGAAGAAGCTCAACTGAAGGAGGGGAAACAACTTGCTCACACCTTAATCCTCGTCTTTGGTAACACCGTTGTTGTACAGGATGAGAAGTAAATGTGAAAGGATGAGCCGAAGGAGGCAAGGGAGATGGAACATGTGAAGGAGATTCAATGGAAGAAGACCAAACAGAAGTAGACAACTCAACAGATGACTCAAGAGGAACTGGAAGAGGAACAGCTGGGGACATAGCAAACAATTCATTCGAATGCTCCCCTTCAGGAGAGGTGCAAAAGAAAGAAATAGACTTTGCAAATGTGACATCCCTAGATACAAGACGGGTGCCACAGACTGGATCAAAACAACGTCCCTTTTGTGTGGAGGCATACCCTAAGAAAACACACTTGCGTGCTTTAGGCTCAAATTTATGTCTCTAGTGACTGTGAACATGGATGTAGCAAGTGCACCCAAAAACTCGGAGGGGAAAAGAAAAGAGCTCCTCATCAGGAAAGAGGAGGCTAAAGGGGGTTTTGAAACCTAGAACCCAGGACGGTATATGGTTTATCAAATATGTAGCTATAAGGACAACATCCCCCCAAAACTTAACAAGAACATGAGATGCAAAGGGGAGACTTCTTGTCACCTCAACTACATGTTGATTCTTCCTTTCAGCCACTCCATTCTGTTGCGGAGTACAGGAACAAGAACTCTAATGAATGACCCCAAAGGCATCAAAGTAGGATGAAAGATTCTTCTCAAAATATTCCTTAGCATTATCAGATCGGAATACTTTGATCTGAGTGTTAAACTGGGTAAGGATAAGTTCATGAAACTTTTGCACAATAGTCGGTACTTCATTCCCTGATCTCATAAGGTAAATCCAAGTATAGCAAGAGGAGTTATCAATGAAAAGGATAAAATACTTGTAACCCCCCATAGAAGATAAATAGTATGGCCCCCACGTGCACAATATGGAAAGGAGAAACTGATCTTTTATTACTTATTGAATAAGAATGTCTACAATGTTTTGCAAGTTCACATGACTCACAAAGAGGAATTGACAAAGACACTCCTTTAAACATTTTCGGAAACAAATGATTCAAAGCAGAAAAAGGCAAAGGACCAAAATGTAAATGACATAACATGACTCTATCAATAGACTCCGATGAAATAGACTCCAAAGCTACTCCACTAGGTGGTCCAAGACATCTATCAGGTGTGTCTAGCAAGTATATTCCGTTCACCTCATGACCACTCCCAATCGTCCTCTGATATTTCAGGTCCTGAAAAACACAATGAGTAGGAAAGAATGTTATACTACAATTCATGGATTTAGTCAAACTACTAACATATTGGTGTTAAGTTTGGGAACATGAAGAACAAAGGATAAAATAAGGGAGTCAGAGGTTTTGACATCCCCCTTATCGGAGATGGGAGCAAGAGATATCTTTTCTCAGCCAAAAGGGAGCTGATATGAACAAAAAAGATTAGACATGTGGTCATATGGTTTGATGCACCAAAAACAATAATCCAAGGGATTTTATGACTACCTAAAACGACAGCATGGTTTGCAAAAGCACGAATACTTGAGTGGTCATATGGTTTGATGCACCAGAATCAATAATCCAAGGTATTTTACGACTACCTGAAACAGCAGCATGGTTTGCAGAAGCACGAATACTTGAGTGAGCAAATGCAAATGAAGAAATGTTGCCTGAGGAGTTGGATGTTGCAACAATAGTCTCCAAGTGATTCTCACCTTCAAGTACCATACCTCTCAAATTCTGCTTTCACTGCTGCTAGCTGCTCCATAGCAGATTTCACCTCACTTTCTCTATTTCCACCTTCAGGTACCATAGCAACATTTGCATTCTTAGCCTTCCCAGTCTGACCACCAGCCTGACCATTCTTCTTAGAATTGTTGTTGTTCCAAAACCTCTCGGGAAGAAGATTTGGATGTAACTTCGAACAGGTGTCCTTGGTATGTTTTGGTTTCTTGCAATATTTACATATCACCTCTTTCTTTTCAATCGGTCCCTTTGTCTTTACTCCAGCATGTGCATAATGTTGGAGGTGGTCCCTGTAACTGTACTTGTTGCCTACTCTCTTCACTACTCACCATAGAGTATGCCTGAGCTAGAGTTACTTCATCTCTAGCCAGAATGTTTTGCCTTGTAACATCAAACTCAAGGTTGAGTCCTATGAGAAACTCAAAAACCCTGTTTCTTTCTACCAGCTTCTTGAATGTCTCTACATCCTTGGTACTCTCCCATACAACTGTCTTCATTACATCAATTTCTTGCCACAACGATTTCAGCATAGAATAGTAAGCAGCTACATTCTTCTCTCCCTGTCTCAAATTATTCACATCATTCTTTAACTTATAAGCTCTTGCAACATTCAATTTCTGAGAAAGGTAATCCATGTGGGACACATTTCAGAAAGGTAATGGTTATTTCTGATTCTAAAATCCTTCAATAAGGTAATAATTATTTCTGATTCTAAAATCTTAATGGATATGTTGAATTGTAAGAACTACCCTCCTTGGAGTATTTGGTATTGGCTGGAATCTCTTTATAGGGAAACTTGTGATATGGAAATCCGCTTTATACATAATTATAGGGAGGGCAATAAGGCAGCAGATGCTTTGGCTAATTTAGCTTTGTGATTTTGGGAGAGATTTTAGTTACTTTTAGAGGTGTAAGGTTTCTATGCCCCCCCCCCCCCTTCCTCATAGGCTTTTCTTTTTCTTGAAATTAATAAAACTTTACAGTCCCCTTCACCAAGATAATGTTTGGGGTCAAAAAAAATTAAGCAGCTCAATTACTGTCTATGATGCCCAAATACAAATATAGACATGGACATGGATATGTGAAATGGGGATACAACTCTCCACTTCCTAAAACCTTGAACACTTATACAGGTATGTATATCCCATGTAGTGTCTTAAAAGCGCAAGGTGCAAAAAAAGTGCAAGGGCCATTTTGCACCCAAGGCATAAGGTGCAAGGCGAGGCACGTGCCGTTTTGAAGCAAAGTGCAAAAATGCAAAGCATGCCAAAAGATTCAAAAAAATGCAAAAAATGCCAGATATTAAGCACAATATTTGTTAAAAGATAAACTTAAATTTTAAAATAAATGTTTAAAAAACATATTATCTCAAATTAAAATACATAAACACATTTAAAATGAAAAATTAAAAATAAAGTCAAGCATAACATATAAAGCATATTCAAGCATGTAAACTCTTAATCTCAATTTTTTCCCCAACTGCATTACTTCAAATAGCTAATGTGATAAAACTTCTAGGTGAACTGGTTCACTAGGCAATAAGCATTTGCAGGTGGAATACCATCATAGAGGTATTTTGGCTGTTTGCTCAGAACCAATCAGCCAAGGGAGATTGTCAAGAAGATTGATTGTAAAAGAAATTATGAAAAACGTTACAAGGGGTAGGGAGTTGAGGCTAGCTTGTGCTTTTTCCTATTTATATTAAAAGAAACAATGTACAGAAAATACACAGAAAGATACAAAGAGGAGCCCAATGGTTTTTTTTTTTTTTTTTTGAGGAGAAAGGTATCGAATTACTTAAAAGAAAATCCAAATCTGCACAATAAAGAGCTGTGCAGTGCCAATCAGATCTGTACATCTTCTAATCTGTATATTCTGTGTGCATAGATACAAAAAGAGCTCCAGAATCAAGAAAGGAGCTACAAGGCCTATTACTGAACAATCTGTGTTCCTACCCATGAACACAACCTACCCCAAAATCCTTTCAGTAAATTCTCTTCTGTAATAAACCTGTTTTCAGTCTTTTATTCCTTTCCGTCCGTATTGTCCAAAAAGAACTCCATAATAAAAAAAGGAACCCAATGGATTGTTACCTCCATACACCTGATTAGTGCCTTGGTCTCCTTGATCTCTTGCCTGAAATGTCACAATCCTAAAACAGTATTCTTTAGCCAATTAACCACCACTTGAGAATCTCCTTCCAGCACATTTCTTGTTTAATTCAGCTCCGTTGCTAAACAAAGAGTCTGCAGTACAGACATCAACTTAGCCTTCAAGAAATTTCCATTTCCTATTGTGACAGAGAAAAGAGCAAGAACCTCACCCTCTTCATTTCCAAACACACCCCCTATACCAAAGGACCTTGGATTTCCTACGGTGCTGCCATCAAGATGGGGTGATTGATACATCTTAAAAATTGTTGCTCATTCTTTTATTATTCCTTCATCAACATTTTTATTATTACTGATAAAAAATCGAAAAGTTACCTATCAAAAAACTATATGGGGCTGGCTACTTGGATCTTGGTTCTGCCAGTTAGCTCTTTTTGGTGCCATATTAATACATATTATCATACATAATATACAGGAATACATAATTGCAAGTGTAAAACATTTGGTTTGGGTTAGTTTGGGTTGCCCAAAGCATCAACCCTAACCCGACCTGATTCTTTCAAGTTGGCATTTTCCATCCCCTGTCCAATTGTCAACCCACCCAATCCAACCTTTCTTCTTCTTTTGGCTTAGCTTGGGTTGGATTGGAGTTGGCCCAACCCAAATTGCACTTAGCCCAATGATATTGGGGTTTAAAGCCAATTTTTCTTTAAAAGAAAAAATGGCATGACAAAGTTTCTAGTATTTTCAATCACATTCTAACCTCAAGTTAATCAGTTTAGAGCATTTACTATTGCAAGTGCAGTTAGGAGTCCTGAGTGCATTGTTATTTTCTTGTCTTGCATTTTTCAATATTTTATTTAGTAATGTGATTCTTATATGTAGGACAAATATCGTAGAGGCCCACTTGCAAGTGCAATCCCTGCTAAAGTCCGAATACTCCCCCGAGGAGATGCAAAGCATCGGTATGGTATCTATTCAGGAGTTGCAAAACCAACTGGACAGCCTTCTATAGATGTTGTCAAGGTCTATCTCTCTGCTTTCACCGATTTCTCTTGTGATCTTTTTGTGACCCTGATCTAGGTATTTGTTTTTGTTTTTAGGAATTTTCAGTTTTTTTTGTAGAAAATTTAGGACTTTCTTGCTTAGGTTCCATAGATGTTGGGCGCATATGCTAACTTGTTTGTTTCTTTCTGATGATGATGTCCATTACTGGCTAGATGCATAATGTAAAAATCAAGTCAACTGAAGGTGAAATGACATTACAAATTTTGTTCTTCTACAATCTGCTGAGTGTTTGGAGTTTGGAAATGGTTGAAATAAAGGAAGTTGGATGTAAATGTATGAAAGCAAGGTTCAAAGTATCAGAAACGCAAGGTGTATCGGAAAGATAATTTTAAGAGGCATATCGGGATATGCTTTGGATATGTATGGATATGGACGAAAAATCAAGATATGCATAAATATGGTAAAATTTTCAAATAAATCTTAAAAAAATATATATTACTAACTATATTTACAAATTTTATATGATTGTAAATAAGTCATTTAAATTTTAAAAACCATAATTTAATGGTTTATATGAAGTGTGACATATCAGGACACAATTAATATTTATGAGTATGTAAATTTTAATAATTAATTATAGCTTTTATTAATAAAAACTTGTCACTCATTAGCAAAAGTGAAAATTTACTTAAAATTAAAAATGCATATAATCATAGCAAACAAATATGTGTGGCTCATTGGCGAATTTGTGGTTGTTAAAACTTAAAATCAAGTGACCAAGGTTTGAATCTTGCTATAGCTAAAATTTGAAGTTTTTACACTAACAAAACAAAATAAGTGATAGGGGATTATTAATTAAAGGAATTAATAAGAGAATTTGAATTAGGTGCTAAAATTCAAGTTTAAATTTAAAATTGTCTTGGAATAATCGGCTAATTAATGAAAGAGAAATTAGACTTAAATAAACAGCATTAACAAGAGATTCGATATTAAATATGTATTAACGATACATATGTGAACTGCATCGGACTATTTCGGGCCCCTATCAGACTGTTTCGAGCCCGTATAGGCTGATACAGATCCGAAACAGCTTGATACGGGCTCATATCGACTGGTATGTACGAAAAAAAAAACGGAATGAATGATTTATACACGTTCCACGTATCGGGTTCTTGTCGAAATTGATACGTTGCAATATTTTGAACACAGTTTGCCCTTATAGTGTATCGGCATCCAGCTTTGGGTAATAGCCTTCTAGCGGTGATAATTGGGTCATGTCGGGTCCAATAACATTCTTTGTAATATACCATGAGAAAGATGGGTACTGAAGTGGGAGTATCTTTCCAGAACCTATATAATACAGTCAGTTTGGTTTGGTTCTGTCAGATCCGCCAACCCATTGGCAACTCTAACAAAGGAAACACAACCCAGAAAGGATTAGAATAATTTTGAATTTGAAGTAGAAAAGTGGTTATTAGACATGAAAGTGAGCAGGAAGAGTGGTTATGCAAAGTGGGATGAATCTCCTTGAAAGCTTGAAGTTAATTATTTGATGTTTTGTTTAACATTTTTAATCAAATGAAAAAAAAAAAAAAAGTCTATGTAGAAATTCTCTAAATCAAGAGGTTCTGAAATAAATTTCATTACGACGTATGCCAATGCAAATCTAATAATAGGAGTGATAGTAAGGGTACAATTAGGATTAAAAACCAATATATACATCAATGTCATCCTTTTGGTTATTTTGATTCAATAATAAATGAGAGGGAGGTTAGCAAGTATGTTGTATATAGGGTTAGAGCGTGATGGACAAAATGGAGGGGTACATCTGGAGTATTGTGGTTAGTGGTTGCCATTTAGGCTGCAAGAAAAATTAAATGAACAGATTTAAGGCTAATAATGCCCGATTCAGGCCAATTGTAATAGTTGATGTTACTTTAAGCTTCATCCAATATGCAATTGAAGCATAAAGGATTTGCATGTATTTAATAGGTTATTGTGGTGTACCAACTACCATGCTATGATCCACGATATAAGTTTTCCTCAAAAAGAAACCTTTTTACTGGCATGATTGGTCTTACGTTACTAGATTATAGCCTCCTAGGTGCTATTTTATTAATAAATATAATATTGAGTTACTTCATATTTAACTCATTTTGTGTACCCAAGATTGTAATTTGGAAGGAATCCTTCAAGACTCCAATGTCTAAACATAAAACTTTTGACATTTTTGGGGTGCGAATTGGGTGGTAAAAGTCCAACAAGGTTTAAAATACCAACAACTTGGTACAGGGCATGTGTGCCGGTTAGTATTTTCTGTGTCGCATCATATCTTCTAGTGGAAATGTGGAATGATTAATGTTTTCTAGTTAAATTTCTTTTTATAGCGTATTTTTTACTAAAAAATTTTGTGTCTTCACAGTAGACACTTGCAAGAGAGTTCCTTTATTCAAAAAACAAAACAAAAAAGAGATCTTGCATTAAAAAGGAGGAAAACTCATTCGAAACAAGAAGAAAAAGAATGCAATTTTTTCATTTAATTCTTCAATATTCAATAGATCTATATATTTTGGTATGTAAAATGTAAAAAATATTTGGGTTGGTTGTTGGATTTATGATTTTTTTTTCTTTTCTTGTATTAGTAGATCCATGGACCCCCACCAAAAAAAAAGTGGGGAAATCCAAAAATTGTAAAAAAGTATTTTCTTTTAAATGATTTCGATGGTAGGAGTGAACTATAAGATGGTTCTCTAAATGACCTATCAAATCCATTGATCCATCAACAATCTGTAACAACTTTTATATTTTTTTACCTTACAAAATAAAATAATTATTTTAGTAGCAAAAACTTATGAATTGCATATAATATGATATGCATCATAGAAGTTTTAATGGATAAATAACAACATATAAATATAAATATATGCATTTTCGCTGACATAACATTAATGTATTTTGGTAATGATGTAAACGCTACACTCCAGGTCATATGTAGTGTTAGAATGTCCTTTTGGGCCTTAAAATTAGTTTTGTGTCCTTTGTGAAACTTTGTCATATTGATACTTTGAATCTTGCTTGTAGTCCAATCAATATTCGCAAATTTACATATTATAAGTGCATAGACATTAAAAAAAAAGTACATCTGAATTTTTGTATATTTCAAAAATATAAAAACTAGGGTTGTTCATGGGTCGGGTTGGGTTGGTTCACTAGCGCTTTTCCAATCGACCCGACTTGGTCGGTTTACCTAGAAATGAAATCGAAACCAATCCAATATAAAGTAAAACCGACTTGGTCAGTTTGAATCGGTTTGGGTCAGTTTTGTTAATGATTCTCTCGGTGTGAACGATAAAGGATTCAAGTCTAACAAAGCAAAGGCTGGATGCCTGGAAATTAAAAATGATTTTATGAATTAAAACTGATATTTTATATATTAGAAATTTTATATATAATATGTATATTTCTGAAATAAAGCTGAAATATATATCCACAAATATATATCTGAAATATATATTAAAATTGAAATATATCAGACATATATATATATAAGTCAATTCGGGTCGGTTCGGTTTCGGTTTTCATGTGTGAAAACCAAAACCGAACTGAACCATCAGTTTATGTTTTTTTGTAACCTGAAACCAACCGGTGCTGAAGAAAAACCGGCCAACTCGGGTTAGATCGGACCGGGTTGGTCGGTTTGGTCAGTTTGGGTCTTGTTATAAACAGCCCTAATAAAAACTACTCAAATGGTTCAAGAAAAAAAAAAAAAAAAAAAAAAAAAGATGACGAAGATTTTTAAAAATATCATCGCAACTATACAAAGTCGCCTTATATAAAGTTAAAGCACTTAAATCATTTATTATTAACTCAAGATATGTCTTTTTTTATCTGTCCCTAGCCTTTTTAGCCCCTTCAACTTTAAGATTTTCAAAAATGAGAAAAAAATAAAAAATTATTAATTTTATATATTATAAAATAAAATAAAAATGCAAACAGGTAAAATATGTCAAACTCTTTTTTCTTTTTTCTTTGTTTTTGAAGGCTGTCAAACTCTTTTTTAATTCAAACTTCTGAATGTGAATGTAATAAACATGAAAGCGCACTTGAGTGATTGGTCCCATGTATAACAAATACATGGTTAAAACTTAAAACTGCTAATACGTATTGTACCATATACCACATAAGAAATCCAATTTTTGAAAAAGTGTCTACTGTTTAGTTAACCGTTTTTTTGAAAAACGTTTTTTCAGACAGTCTTGAAAATCAGGAAAGTGTGGTTTGAGTTTTACTACTGTTTGCTAGCGATAGTATGCTGGCATAACAATTAAAAGTGCCTATATGACAGCAACAGAAACAGCAACGGTATCAAATAGAAAACCCAAAAAAACATTTTCTGAGAAAACATCATGCTTATGCAACACCATTTTCTGAGAAAATGCCTCTCAAGAAACAGTTATAGTTCCAAACAAACATTGCCCAATGTATTTGTTTGTGAATTATCAAAGTGAACAAAGATAAAATAAAAAGATTATATAGATTGTTGAATCAGTACATTGAACCATACTGCGAATGCAAAAATTACATTAAATTACAAATTACGAAAAGAATAGGGAAAAAACAAGATGACATCTATATCTATAATATAAAGAAGAAAGAAGGGAGGTAAGGGGACCTCTCCCATAGGCTCACACGGACTCCTCTCAATTCTTGTACAACGCGTGTGTGGCCTCAAAAAGGTAAAAATAAAATATTAAATTCCTCTCCATTACAATTTAGTACAGTGCCCTATTTAATTCCCACAACCCATTAGTTTCATTTTAATCCATCCCATTTAATTACCTAAATTCAAATTTAAGTTGATAAAATTTGATTCCCACCACTTCATTATTATATTCACTTTAATCACTCCTAATAGTATGTTAGATAGTACTATTTAATTCCCACCACCCCATTAGTTTCACGTTAATCCTTTCTAATTAATCACCTAAAATTAGGAAGTGTCTTTAGTCTTTTTTAATCTTTTGAATATAATAATTTTATATTTGCTATTCCGTGTCATACTATTCCTTCTATCAGGATCAATGCTTACTCTATTTCTTCTATTTTATTTCAGTGAAAATGGTGACTACTCTCATATTTGCTTAAAGTAATTATTGCTACACATAACTTGCTAGAGATTACCATATATCGACCATCACAGTAAGTTTTGTATCTTTTTTCCTGTTTTTATTTTACTTCATGGAGTCAATAGCTACCCTTTATTGTTTTAGAGTGCTTATGTTTTTAATTTCTTTTTTTTTTTTGTTTAATTCACTAGAATTATCAGTTACTTTTTAATTTCATTTTATCTGAATCACTTTTGATGTGATGATGGCAGGATTTGGGTGGTGCATGATAGAAGGGAAAACAAATGTATTTTATTTTCTAATATTTGCCGTCCTTTTTTCCTTGGAAGTGCTTCATCAACATGGGCTAGGCTTCTATTTTTATGGGTTTAGTTTGGTTTAGGCTAGGTTGTTTTGTTTTTATTTTTTTAATTTGTTGGTTCCTTTTATGCTTTATTCTATTATTTCCTTTGACATTTTCTCATAATTTTATAGTTGTATTTATGCATTTCATTTGTGATTTTTGGTATTTCCTTTTGACATGGGATGCACTTTATTGCTATCCTCTAATTCTTCTAATTCTTCTTTGTTCTTGTCCTTCTCTTTCAGGCAAAATATGCAGAACTTCCTATTGTCGTCATCAAATCAAGAAATCTAAATCCCATGGTTTTGATGGATATTTACCTTTTTCTTGTCTAATTCCTTTTAACTACTTGAAATGTCCTAATTTCAGTTTAGTTTTAATGTTAATAATTTACCATTTTCCTATATAACAACATAAGGGGAAATAACCCGTAACCATTAGATCCTTTACCAGCCTATGCAAAGGGCATGCCATCCCATCCTTATGCTACTTTAAATTGCAAAATTAATAGCGCACTTAATCTTTTTATGCTTGCTTCCTTTTTACTTCTCTAATTTGATTCCTATCAAAAGAACCACATTCTTAGAAATACTTTGCCCATTGATAGTTGGATCTCTATATGAATGAGATTTTTTCAGAGATTTTCCCGAAATTTGTTGTTGTTTTTGGTGTATCTCATTTTCCATTTTATCATAATTTTGCAATTCCCTTTATAGTGGGGTTGGGCATTTATAGTGGGGGGGGGGGGTATTTATAGTGGGGATGGGCATAAATACATTTGGGAAACTAAAACAATTCTGAGGGGAACTTAACTCTAAAAGGCATTTATTTAAATGTTTCATTTATTAATTTAAATATAATAGGTTTGATTTGATTTCATTTGTTAATTTTGTCATTTTCTCTATCTTCAGTGCATCGCACGGGCTTCTCGCTAGTATACATTAAATTGCAATAGATGAGAATTTTACAGCTAGAGGTTTCAATGATTTGAAACACAGCAAAATAATTGATTCAGGCGGTCAGGCCTTTATCCATGATAAAATTCCTTTGCTAGAACTGGAAGACACTCGAAACGACGATATATACACAAGATAAGCCCCTTGACAGTGGGGAGAATTAATGCCAGATCCAATACAAAGAAATTGACTGATGTATTGTGACGAATATATTGCAAATGATGCATACATACACAAAAAAGATATTATACATGTAACTGACAGACAGAAAAACAATTTAATATTATTCCTCCGTCGTGAATTTCTTGGCATCAAACCGCCTTGTTCATTCTTCTAACAAATCATTGACATATATTTTCCTAAGAACAGGAATACATCTACCATCCTAAAGAAAATATAATGGAGAAAAGGATAAAGTAAAATTCATCAAAAAAAAAAAAGGATAAAGTAAAAGAAGCATTGACAGACTGAATAAAAAGGGGTTAAAAAAAATAGAAGAAAAAGAGGGCATTGAACCCCAACTTACATATCTTCACATATACAAGAAACTTTTTTTTTTCATAGTATCATTCAAGTGAAGCCCCACCTTGTGCATTCTCTTCACAGACGTCCAATTGGGACCCATTGGGGATAATGGTTGAAGGAGACCATTGGTCTGGTACCATGAGGAAATAAGCAGACATGGCTTTTCTGAACCGTTTCTTGTATTGCTTGGGAGAGATTACAGTTGGAGATGAATTCTTTGGACCACCAAGTATCCCTGAAGCCTTCACCCATGTCTCGAGGTGTTTGTCCCAGGTGTACTGCCTCATGAAATCAATTATCCCCACAACCAGCTCATGCTTCACCTCATCCACCCCGACCAGTAATGAGTAATCCATTACATCAATGGACTGCCATATTGTTAATATGAATCAAATATTAAAAGATGTCCAACAAAATATTTCTTTCCTACTTAAAAGACATGGAAACATTTTAGTCCAATCAAAATGCAAAGAACCACAACTGATCTCAGCAAGAAGGATTAACAGATTTGTCAACTTTTTTTAAATTTACTAGATATACTTGGACCAAGAAATATAAGATACTTCCCTGTAGATTGCCTAAAATATCTACAATAAAATCTACTGATTCTGAAATAGAAGAGGGACCAGTCAAATGAAACCCAAGTACAAATAAATATTAAAAGGGAGAGGGACCTGATCAAATGATTGTTAACAAGATTTAGTGATCACAATCTGAATAAGTATGGCATAGACAGGCCCCGTTCATCTGATCAAATAGGTGTTTTTGCATATTTATACTGATCCCTGTCCCATACAGGTTGCCCCACGTTCACCTGAAGCAGTTGGTCCTGGGCTGTTCAATAAATGAGGTGGGGCTGGATCTTCTATCTTAAAGAGTCCACATTGGGAACATGGATACTAGTGTCATAATTTGACACAAGTATAAGCTTTAAGACTCGGCAAATCCAAAATAAGATTCAGGAACTCCACAGAAATACTTTAGTTCTACGTTAAAATTTTTAATGACTTAAATGTTGTATAAATAATGGGATAATTGTTCAAAAAAAATCAAATGCAGATGCATAAATCAGTGCAAACAACAAAAGGAAACAAAGATGGATTATACTAAATTATTAAGTATTACAAATTTACAATCCAGGTTAAAGTTTTACCAAGAATTAAAGGTTCTTTAGTCACATATTATAAATGAGGCAAAGAGGAGTCCCCTCATGTATTGTACCCATTTTGAAGTTTCCATGTAACATAACTGGTGGTAACCTAATATACCCATCACCAAACCCATGACTATGTGCACATAATTATAGTAAATAACAGTTAAGAAGGTCCAATTAGTAAGTATTTTATTTTTAGCTTGAACAATGAAAATTACAGCAATTGGTTATTTTGAGCTTACCGCAAGAAAAGAAGTATCATTCCAAACAGCTCTCTCCAACAACCGCTTTGCCTTGTTTCCCACAAAAATCGGAGAAGTTGGCATTGCTTCTATGAGGTTCTGATCCAGCAAAACCTTATTGGTCCCACTTGAATCTGGATTATACCGTGACCGAGAAGATCCCTTAAGGTCATAAAGTCTTGTAACATTCCGCCCAAACAGAAGATTCTCCATGACTAAAACATCCATCCTTGACTCCTTCCCCCCTTTAAGGTGCTTCGATGTCACCTGACATAAAATAAATAAATAAAAGTAGCAACAATATCAGGACTCAGTCTTGGAGATGGTTGATCGGTTTATTCTAAAATATGAAAAGCTTGGTCCTTAAATCAAGAAGGAGGTTCTTAACTTAGATAAGGTCATGGTTGAGCCTCAGTGACATAGCTTAAAGATCAATATTCTACCTGGTAAATCCCCAGAATCTTTGCCAGACATGTAGGACTTCCTGTGCCAATCGAATCAGAGAGGTATTTGAAATACTCAGGAGCAAACTTGATGAAAGATTCTAGCTCTGTCTTTGTAACCTGTTTGACGATAAACCGATCATCCAAGGTTTTTGCAAAAAAGACATTGCTCTTGCCACCTTGGGCCCCCCACTTCTTACAGCGACTGAGGGACCTTATGAAATCTAACTCAAATGGGCAACATGTTCTCCTCAAGGCCTCAAACCGCTTAGCATAGTAGCAAGTAACAGTATACCTCACCTTCCCTAGAGGGCCATCATCTGTAACAGAAACTCTCACATGCAATGCCTTTGTAGATAAGAGTGGTTCCAACATCAGAGAGCTCCGGGACCCAGACATAGATAAGATGCTATCATCTGTGGACCCAAGACTTCTAAATGATTCGGAGGTCATTTCATCAAATAGATGAAATGAATGAAAATTCACCAAATCAAAAGATGGTAAGGAGACTAAAGAGTCTCCCCCATCTTTTGGTCTATCCCGCTCATCAGACATCTGGGCATGATAATCCTGAGAGACCAGGGCATATGATATAATACTTGTGGGTTCATCATCATAAACTGGCACAACAGTGTCATTGAAACCTATAGGCAACAGAAATCTGGTACCACCTTGACGCTCTAAGTCCCGAAACGATGTGACATAGACAGGATCATATCCACTAAGCGTATCGAGCTTTGGAGCACTTCCTGAAGAAATTTTGTTGAAAGAACGGTAGAAGTTTAGGAAAGGCATGCTTACCCAGCTTGTAGTGTCATACACATTGTCAGTTCCCTTGATTGCTCTTGCAGGTCCAAGAGATTGAGATATCTCAGCTCCATCTCGGTTTTCCAAATGCTCTTCCAACTCCGGTTTTGCCACTGCAACATCTATCATGACTGACGAATCAACAACAGCTGCATCAGGAAATGTACAACTATTCTCTCTTGGTGTTGCACTTCCTGGGTGATTTTCACCTGTCCATGCTGCATCAAGAGTGTCTGACAAACTTGCCATAATTGGGAAGTGCCCCTCTGAGAGAACCCTACGAATTACTCCAGATTCCAAAGGATCAAATTGATCATCAAACTTTTGGCCAGTAGACAAATAAACCATGCCTTCCTTCTCATTGTTTGGATCTTGATTCATCTCTCTTCCTTGACTAGCTAAGGCATCCTGATTAGGCTGCTCACCAGATCCTCCTTGATTAAGGCTTTCATCAGGCTTCCCATCCCAAATTGAGTCACAACTGGATAAAGCCTTACTTGTATTATTAGAAGTGTTCATCTCAACAAGCTTCTCAATCGAATCAAGGGTTTTCTCCTTGCTTTTTGCCATAGAGCTGCTTAGCCCTTCCTGATGGTCGTTGTCTAAATTGGCTGTATATATCAAGCGGCGGTCCCACACGTAAGACTGAAAGAGCAGCTGCCTCTGCAACCGATTAATCTCAAGGATATCAATTATAGGTTGGCCCTTCTTTGCCTCCCTGTTCAGAGCTTTATGGAGAGATTCCTAAGACAATGTTGAGAAAATAATCAGAACCTGATAAAGTGGAAAAGCTGACTACTTAATCACCGTATATTATAAGATCTACTATTCACCAATCTGGCCAGTTCAACTACTTGGCTACCACTTGGAAAAATCAGCAGTTCATTAGGTTGTTTCTTTCTCGGTTACCTCCTTAAAAATAACTAAAATAATTTAGTTTGTTTCCTTTTCTCGATTGAACAGATTTATAAGCTAATCACATGATATTGGCATACATCACAACCCAAGAGATTGCCTACTCATTGAAAGGTCCAGCTAGGTACACAAGTGGACCTGACAGAAAGCACAAAGTTGAAAACCAAAGTCATTCTGCCAACCAACAGAGTTTTAGCTCTAGACCAACATGCAAGTAGACAGTGTCATTTTTTGGGGTGGGTGGGGTGATATGTGGGGAGAAAAGCAATCAAAAGGCACCACCTCAAATTCTGCCTTCTCCTTTTGTATTATCCCTTCTAGTTCTGCAACACGATGTCTTGATTCAGCTGCTTTCACACCACTTTTAAGGAATCCTAAACCTGATCTTTTCTCAACAATCTCATGGAGACTGTTGAGTACTTCAGTAAAAAGAAGTTCTGTCCTGTCAACCACCTGTTAAAAGCAAGACCAATGAATCATCCACAATGAACAGGAGTTTCAAACATATATTTCTGGAATCAGATTTATGATAATTAGACCTCTTTTGCTTCTTTCTGTATCCATTCTTGACTTCCATAGTTAAAGTCAAGTTTAGAGGGTGGAAGATAAACAGAATGAACATCAATTGAACCATAACGAAAGCATGCAACCATTCTCCCAAACCTGTACACGTAAAAATTTGGAAATCAAGTAGAGTGAATAATGCACATATAGGCTGAAACACAGTTAGACATGGAAAAATAAATTTGTTATTTGTCCAGAGAGTTATTACCATATGCACATGGAATATCAGGACATTTAGTTAAAGTTTGACAGTGAATAAGAATAACTATGATATCTCCAGGGACAAAATTCTTATGAATATACCTAATGGGTTGACCAAGGTTATCCAACAATACCAATCATTCCTCTTTCTTAAGTCTTAGTCATGTTGAACAAGCAAGTCTTAAATCTCAGAAACATTTAAATATCAAAAAATATCAAGTAACACCTATTGTCTACATATACTAGTAATAGTAATGTGCATGCATCACACATCACACATGACAATTTTCAAATATTATTTACAATAGCATTTGATCAAAATAATGTCCAATTAGAATAGTTAGGAAAGGAAAAGTAATCTGATTTGACTGTTCTTGTGAAATAAAATAATAAAAAATAGATAATATGGATTGCAGGAGTAGTTTTCATCCTTTTCTTTTCTTTTCTTTTCTTTTCTTTTGGTATATAAATTCTCTGCAAAATAACATGACTAAAAAAGATAGCAAGGCTGGCATGCATAATTTAGCTTCCACCCCACCCCCTCCCCCCCCAAAAAAAAAAAAATACACTTAAACCTTTGGAGAATGCAAAGCATTACAAGTATTCAAGCAAACTTGTTGAGGTCAAGATTCAGTAACCTTTAGCTGTTTCAATAAAAATCTTGCATTCATAGTACAAAAGATACACAGTTTTGTGGCTTGGGCAAGCCAGTGAAAAGGGCAGCTGTGAATTTAGCCCTAATTAAATGAAAGCCAAACATTGTCATCATATAGGAAACAAAGGGGGAGGTTTGGGATAATCAGGTGGTATCAGAGATAATAGGGTGCTAAAAGTTTTGGGTGGAAGTCCAAGCCACTAATAGGTTCAAGTGGTATAATATTTTTTATTTTTTTGATAAATGGTAAGTGTTTAAATTATGTTACTGAAAAGGAGGGTGAAACACCTTCAGAGTTCAAGGTATACAGAAGGTATAAGAGAGTGTGCATTCACAAAACATACAAAAAGTATAATATGCACAAACCAAAAAATGATAGATGACCACTGAGATTAGATGAGTAAGCCCATTTCATCATACTCTATTCAGCCTTGCCAATGATTTCTTACAACAGAGCACTCTGCCTCTAAGATTCTGCTATTTATTTCCTTCCAAACTGTCCAACCAATGATAGAAGACTGAGAGTTTCATAGCAACTTCCCCTTAGCTAAACAACACAAACTCTCAAAGATGATAGAAAATCAACCATGGTGGGGGGAAGAACCTAGCACCAGTGTTTTAAAAGTGCAAGGGGTTTTTTGCTCTCATGGCACAAGGCACAAGGTGATGTCTGCACTTTTTGAAGCAAGTCACAAAAGATTAAAAAAGAAAACAAAAAATTCATAAAAATGAAAAAAAAATAAAATATTAATTAAAAATGCATACTTAAATTTTAAACTAAATGTTTTAAAAAGCATAATAGCTCAAATTAAAATCGATAAACATAGCACATAAAACATGTTTAAGAACTTGAAACTTTCAATCTCTTTATTTCTTTCCCAATTGCATTACTCTAATTCTATAAGCCGCTTTATACTTAGCCACTTGAGGTAAGCCCAACTGAGTCCATGCTAGGTGCTCCAGGCACATACCTTTCTAAAGGAGGTGTGCCTAGGCAGCAAGGCACAGACCTTCAAATGCATCTCATTTGTGTGCCTAGGCGCACCTTTTTCACTCACTGCCTATTGCATCTGAAATAGTTGGATAAAAGTTTGAAGCAATCACCCAGAGCATGGTTTGACAGGTTCCAGGGAGCTTTGATTCGTTTTGGATACATAAAGACTCAGATCGTACACTCTTTGTGAAAAGGAAAAAATCACTTTTGTCAGTTCTAATAGTATATGTTGATGACATTGTAGTTACAGGAAATGATCTACCATACGTTTCATCTGAATTATAGATAGCTGATATCTTCACCAAGGGAGTTACTAAAAGCAAGTTGGAACATGATCTATGCAAGTTGGGAATGTGTGATATCTATTCCCAACTTGAGGGGGAGTGTTGAGGATTTGTTGAGTAGTTGTTATTTATTTGTAGGTTTTAGTTATTTAGCTCAAGGCCCATTAGTGTAATGCTGTTTTTATGTTTTTATTGGTGGATTAGCAGAAGGAGCCCTATTAAGGGCATATTGGTCATTGTAACTCTTTGTATTCTCCATAAAGAGGTGGGCCCGGGCCTTTAGTTCTCTACTATGTTTTTTTCTTTTGCTAAGTGTATGGGCCTGGGCTTATTATGTACTTCTTATCTTTACTTGCTGCCACCTAAGCAGGGGCGGTTTTGTCGCTTATTCAAACTCACTTATTTTATAACATTACTGGGCTGGACAGTAGAGATTACTTCTCTAACCAAGGGCTGAACGCCTTCATGGTATCCAAGCACTAAACCTGTCCTAGGTCCTGTTGTTTCTCTTTCTTTCTTCCTTCATTTTTCCTTCTTTCTTCTTGTTCATTCCTTACTGAAACCCTAGTTCTGATCGTAACTTACTGAACTTTGTTCTCTAGGGTTCTGCCTTGGTATTGTAGATCAAGGAAACCCTAAGCTGGTCATATATGGCCTGTTAGTGTGCAAGCTAAAGTGAATGGTCAAGGAAACTACTAGAGAGACCTTACTGCAGGTCTAGATGCTGGACTCTTAAACCCAGGTGCTCAAGAAGCTTTCTGGAGATTGACAGTGAAGGGGACTGAAGTATACAGTTTTTTTTAGATTGAACCAGAAAAGATTTCCTCTTTTCTCCCACTGTAATCTGAATATTCTGCTGATACTTGGACCAAAGGGGAAAACTCTTGCTTTTTGTGAAGAAGTACTGCTGGACTCCAGCAAGTTTAGATGTCTTCAGATTTAAGTGAGGTGAAACAGGTCAGGTGAGGGTTTCTCCAACATGAAGAACCCTAGTTTTCTTAGTCTCTTTTTTATTGGAAACGGTAACTTCATTACTGTAAAATTAAGATACAATGTCAACCCCTAGGATAGGAGTTGGGCCCAAGTAATTTGAATTACAGAACTGCCCAGAACAAACCTTCCCTCTCTGTCCCTTGTTTGGCTAAGGTATCAGCCAGACCACTAGCTGATCTTCTTTTCCACTTGAAGCCTGCATCAAGCTCCCTTTTCCTGTATGGGCTGTCGATACATCCATGCTCCCAAATTGCCTGATTGCAGCCAGTCCATTAACAATTTAGAATCTCCTATCTCCACTTGGTGTAATCCCAATTGCTTGGCATATTTTACACCTTGAAGCAGAGCCATCACTTCTGCTCGTAATTAGTCTCCCACCCTTGTTGGCCCAGAGAACATAGCAACAATTCTCCCATCTCCATCTCTAAATACTCCCCCTATACCTGAAGGCCCTGGGTCACCTCTAGAGCTCCCATCAAAGTTCAACTTTAATCTTTGTTGTGTTGAAGGGGATCACATTTCCTGCTGTCAACAGACCCAGAGCAGAATACAAAATTCTGGGGATGAAGAATGGATGATTCGGCCCTACCACAAGGGTCCTTTATATAGAAAGTGAAATTATAGAAATTACAGAGAGGCCCTTGTAGGGAAACACAATTTAGAGAATTTACAGAGAGGCCCTTGCAGGGCTGAAGTGAAAATAATAATAAATAAGAAAACAATACAATAAGGACTACAACAAAATGGTATATCAGGGAGTTTCTTCACACTCCCCCTCAAACTGATGTAGAGGCATGAGCATCAGTTTGCTTACTAGAAATAAGTGTCTGGATCTCGTCATGGCCTTTGTGAAGATGTCAGCAACTTGCATATCAGAGACAACATGAGGGAGAGAGATAGAATTTGCAAGAAACATATCGCGGATAGAGTAGTAGTCCACCTCCATATGCTTTGTCCTTTCATGAAAGACAAGATTAGAGGCAATCTTAATAGGACTAGTGTTATCCGCATGCAGAGTAATGGGCGTAGGAGAGGAACCTGAAATAAAGATTGAAGCCAAACAACTTCACTACAAACAGATGGCATTGCCCTATACTCTGCTTCTGTAGAGGACTTGGAAAAAGTCTGTTGTTTCTTGGACTTCCATGATATTAGAGAGTCACCCATGAAGACATACCACCCGGCAGTTGAGTGTCGTGTGCCGGGGCATCCAGCCCAATCTGCATCAGCATAGGCCTTCAGTTGGAGAGAAGAAGATGAAGAAAAGAAAAGACCCTGTGATAAAGAACCTCGAATATAGTGGATAATTCAATGCACTGCAGTCAAATGAGGTTGATGAGGTGCAAAGACAAACTAACTAACAACTTGAACTGCATGTGAGATGCCAGGACGAGTCATGGTCAGATAGATGAGAGACCCTACAAGTTGCCGATAGTGGGAAGCATCAGGAAGCAGGGAGCTTTCTGATTTGGATAATTTGACATTCAGCTCCAAGGGAGTATCAACTTGTTTATTATCAGTGAGGTTGGCCAACTTAACAAGATCAGAGGCATCCTTGTGTTGGCAGACAAAATAAACTCAGGAGCTCCGTTGGACTTCAAGTCCCAAGAAATAGTTAGGAGGGCCGAGATCCTTCATGTGAAAGGAACTATGGACAAGAGACTTGAGGTCCTAGATTCCTTCTATATCATAAAGTAAGAGAATGGTAAGGCCCTAGGGTCTTTTCCGAACAAAGAGAAAGTAGTCTGATGCACTTTGGCTATATCCTACTTGCACGACAACATCTCTGAATTTTTCAAACCAAGCTCGAGGGGCTTGCTTGAGCCCATAGAGGGACTTCTTTAGTCGACCAACGAGGGAGGGATCACTACAGTACCCTGGAGGAGGAGGTTTCATATATACTGTTTCCTTTAGATGCCCATGTAAAAAGGCATCTTTCACATCCAGTTGAAAGATTGTCCAAGAGTGAGCA